TAGGCTCAAGTTCAATTTTTTTAACGCATAGGAATTATGAGTCCCACTATTAAACTTTTAATTTCAAACTGACCTCGGACGCGAGAATTCAGCCAGCTTTTACAGACAGAGAAGTTGTTTTTGACCTTTCTCACCATGGTCACGCGTTGGTCACGCTCTACGTCCAATGTTCTGATTGGTCAAAAGTTGACAGGTGAGTTCATGCGGAAAATTTATGCAGCATCTTGAAACTTGTTTATTGTTAGCTGAAACTGACGGAGTTTTGTGTATAAACGTTGTGAAGCTTTTAACTGTCTTTTTCTACTGGATGCACAAAATGAAATATTATTCATGGCTGGTGTGTTTATTGGTTCTTTGGTTGAGAAATGCGACGCTTGTCAAAGTCATCGGAAATCCAATTTCGGATGGATCGCTTTTACTCACTTCCCCTTGCTTGATGCGTATTATAAAGAGGGTTCAAAAAAGTCTCAAGCGATTCTGACGGCCTTCCGGAGCATCTTGACTGGTAAGCCTGAGTTATTATTGTATTCTATATGTTTTTTTTTTCTGGTTTCCTAAAGTCGAGCGTAATTTCTGCGCCTAGTTTATGCACAAGACAATGATCTACAATAGCATCAGGTTTGACATAACCTTACAGATTTTTAAAAAGTCTTAACATTTTCTGACCACAAATACAAAGAAAACGTTGCGAAGAATACAATTTGTTTAGTTATGCTTTTAGCTGTACAAAGAAAGCTCTGAGCGATATTCTTGCCTCGCGGTTCATCTTGAAGTAAACACCGGGAAGCCGGCTTAAATCTGCAAGGTTTTTGAAGCTTATGAGCTTATGCTCATGATTTTCAGAGACACTTACTCTCAAAACTTATCGTCGTGAATGAAAATTGTTGTCTCTGTACATTTTTCACCGAATTATATTTATTTTACTGCTTGTTAGTAGTCTCTTTCTCAATTTAATCGCTGCACAGGTTGTTTTCAGTCGAACATATAACAAAACATCGCACACAGGAGTATTAAAAATGCTGGGCGTAAATATCACATAATAAAACCATGAATAAAGGGAAATAAAACCTAAATAAAATAAGTTCTCTATCATGTTGAAGCTTAAATGTTATACAAACGGCTCCGACAGCTCGGACTGCAAATTTGGTGCTTGACAACAGTGAGAACCCGTCCGGCTGGCCGTATAGGTGATTTTGGGAATTTTTTGATCGTTCTCACTAAAAGCCCATTATTATATTACCCTACATATAACATAGGAGCAGATGTTTCCGACTAAACAGTCCCGGTATTATGGAAAATTCTCTTAATGAAAACGTTTTATAATGCGGTCAATTCTATAATTTTTTGCTCAAAGGAAGCGCGTGCTTCGATCGTCCTGGATATTGAATGAGCGCAATTTGTCTTGCAAAAATTGTGAAAAACTGCAGAATTATAGGTTTAAATAGGGCAAGGAAAAACAAATTCTGTTCGACGTCTGTATGATCAAAATCAGGCACACAGACATAGCACTGTTTTCCTCAGATCTCATACATGTATAAAAACACTGATAAAAGGTATATTTAAAAGGCTGGTTTACACTGACCACCAGATTTCTTAGGGTCTGGAATGGTATTCTCGGGACCAGGGATTAGACTAACATACAGTGCGGGATTCTGGAAAACCCAAAATGCTTTGACGGGATACTGGATTTGACTGTTACTCGGGAAGCGAGATTCGCCAAAATGTTGGAACGGGATGCGGATATGGGAAAGGAAACCGTATTCGGGGTAGAGAAGGAGCGGGAATGGAAAAGGAGCGGGAATGCGGGATCAGGGACCCCCCTTCCAGACTCTGCTTTGTCGCCAAGATTTACTTGTAAAGTAAACCTGTCGAACACAAATCGTTTCCGAAAGACAAAAAGACCGGCCTGATTTTAATTTTATTTTGGCCTTCCTTTTAGACAGAGGAATGCAAAGTGTAAATTGGCTGCAACCGAGGACTCTCTTGTGTTGCATAAAATTATGTTTCGGAGATATCCAATTACTGGGCTGCCCGGCAAGCCCAGTCATAAAATGGGTTTTCGGTCGTCGGTGTCAAAAAGTGGTCATCCCGGGGAGGGAAAACATGAGGGTCTGGTACGTAGAAACGATGTTCTCACAAATGGTTTCATATGAGTTTCTCTTGCACGGAGCCTTGCACGGATACTTTTTGTACCTTGTCTGCGCTCCCCCTGAAAAACCCACAAGGCGTTGCAAACCTGAAGAAGGCTATTTGCGTTGTTCGAAGCGATTCGACCAAGGGAGTAACTCTATAGTTTTTTTATTGTTCGAGTTTAAGTCAGTTAGATGATGTTGGCGCTGGGAAACTCAGAGAAATGCTCGCGTTGCATTCAAACCGACACGCCGTTCACGGTAGGTTCACACTAACAGACTGAAAAGATGACTGTGAGCGTCAGGTTTGGAACGCCGTGGCTGCTTCGTGAACTATCGATCGATGTAGTACATGAGCAATTAAGAAGCACAATTTGTGACCCTCCACAGGACTTTAATGCTAAAGGTGAAAGCACGCGCACGACACGCTTTCACTTTAAAACAAAAGAATTTATTTTAACACGCTTTAGCACGCTTGCAATCTTGCGTCATTAGCAATTTCTTTTGTTTCAGAGGACACGCTTGAGACAATTAAGCGTGAGCAAGTCGAACAAAAGAGCGTGTTAAAGTTTTCAAACAAAAGCTCCGTGCGAAAAAGCACAACACGCTTTCAGTGTGCGCAAAAGCTATATAAATTTCCTCTACAAAAAGGAACCGTAAATGATTATGAACGGCACCCTTTTTTAGTAACTATCGAGAAAGAAAAAGTTATACCTCAGCGATCGTAGCGATAGCATCTGATTGAAAAAACGTTGTCGCTTGAAAGGTATAAACAGTGAACGGTGTGACCTACTGGATTTATGGGTAGAACTATATTAGCATTGCAAAATCAAAGTTCTTTCCAGGGCTTCAGCATTATTTTCCCGAAAAATTTAGCTTCCAATTGAAAGTTTTAGGAAAGTGAGAATTTTATCGTATTTTCGGTTCCGAAAATTTTAGGATTCCTTAATTCTCTACGAAAAATAGCTTAACTGGGGAATGAAATGGAAAAATAAGGAATTTATTAGATAACCTTCGAAAATTGTACATGCATGGAACGGTCATCTAGAAATGTTTAGCCTTCCTCAACCTATAGAAAATTCTAGGCAGTTTTTGTTTCTCCGATTTAATTACCTTCGTTCGTCTTAGCATGGTTAAAGAAATATATTAAACTAATTTATTCAACTTCATTTCTCTGTGCATTACTGCTAATAAATATTCCGGTGGCATAACTATAATTTTCAGGCAACATACCTTCAGTGCCTCGCATGCGATAGCAGGCCTCTTTGCGATTCCGGTCAACAGCCGACAGCCGGAGGAATTGGTTTACACTGATCTCGCGTTAATTCCAGGCTAGACCACCATTAAGTCGTGATTTTCAAATGGCCACGGTTACTATCAAATTCCAAAACAGTCTCAATTGGTATATTTGATTCACTTCGACCAGTTATCAATGCTGATTAAATCCGCCGAAAACCCAAGCCATTTTTATCATCTTAGCGGTTTTAGTAATCAAGCGTGTCTTACCCAAATTGCACGCTAACCGTGCTATAATTCGCACACTTACCGTGACATATGGCACGCTACAAAAAAACAAAAGGTCTAGCGTGTTAAATTTGCCAAAACAAAGGCAAGTGTGTCCGTCTTTGTTTTTTCAATTTAATATGCGGATATCCGTGATCTACGGCACGCTAAGCGTGTCGTGCAAGCGTGTCGTGCGCGTGCTTTCACCTTTAGCATCAAATTCCTGTGGAGGGTCACATTTAAGAGCAAAGTATTTCACCAGTTGACGACACTATGGCTGAAGTCTTGATTGTAAGCCGTCATAGTCAGTGAAGCGAACAACTCAGTTGCCGATGAATGGCAGATGAATCCTCCCTTACCAAACATAATGATATGGGCCATGTATGGCCCAAGTATGGAAATGGTATGACATGACTTATGGCCCTGCTATGGGTAATATATGGAATTTGTATGGGTTACTACATGCCATATCAAACCCATACGTGTTAACAGTCTTCATCAGTGAATGGTTCAATAGCTTTTCACTATGGGATTGCTACGTATTTGGCAACACCCCATACATTCCCCATAGTAAATAGTATGGGACTGACATGGCTCAGCCCCATACCAATACCGTGTGTTTCCTGACTCTCTACTATGGAGATGATATGTACTTGGCAGCTCCCCATACCATTCCCATATCATCAATCATACTGCCGTCTGATATGGGAATGCTATGTACTTTGTAAACTTCCATACAATTCCCATATCATCCAGGCAGACTGGTGACCTGATATGGGAATGATATGGATACCCATGATTCTTGCTCCATAGTAATGCCATATGATGAATATTTAAGTGTGTTTCTTTGGTGAAAAGTTGAAATCCAAGTGTGTGGTGTTCGTTCTCACCACTTATACTTCCTCTTTCTTGAACAAAGCAATTAGGATCACAGATTCACATTCATTTCATATCTTTAATTCACTTAAAACTATTTAATTCACACTTGCTACTGAAATATATTACATATGTTGTACCTTTTGAACTCTCAATTTTCGGAGATTTCAAAAACTGTAAAGACAGCTTTTTGTGACAATACAATAATATTGCTAGTAGAACAATGGTATTGCATCATGAAGAAAAACTTCAGAAACAATCTGATTTTATCTAATACTGTGAAAAATTGAGAAAAAAGTTTCAAATATGGTACAATGTTAAAAGGGTTGATCCAAAATATCTGAGAAAATTCTGTCCTTACTTCAGAAGCATTGTCACTTTTTACTAATGATTGCATATAACGAACTTTGAACATTTCAAAAATAACTGTCATTGTTGACCACTGGTGTGGCACGACTTTTTGGTGGCCTTCTTGCCTCCACACACTTCATGTTAATTTTTTGCACTACTTCTGGGTTTTGGCCCATCTCTTGGGAATTTAGAGCAGACTTTACCTAAAAAAAAGAGAGGTCATTGATATTATTTGCTTTTTTAAAAGGGATAATTTCACTGTTCACAATTTTTTTTAAAAGGCCAAGTGATTTCAGATGTATTTTGGCCCACTACGCACCACATTTTAAAAAACAATGCGTGAAAATGGACAATTTGAAGCAATTCGACTTCCATTCATTTATTGCTTTAGTGTAGAAGGTACCAAAATTAATAAAAATCATTCACTTTTACCAGTGAAAATTAATATATACTATCAACAGGCATTTTTAAGTTCCAAACTTCCTTGCTTCCAAAACAATGCCTAGTGCAAAAACCTTTCATCCCCGAATGAGTCTTGCATGTTAACTAGCATGAGAAATAATTAATGTCTTTTTTCACAACAAAAACGTTTCCTCTTTACTCAAGATTGAGTTTCCCCAAACTCTGATGAGTGTTTCTAAAACATTATGGAAATTAGGAAGGAAAATATATGCTAAGAAAATGATATATCTTTCCAGAAAGTTATATTAAATATCTTCAATTAACCAATCAGCACAGGCACAGTATCTTGTTTAATTTATAATATAATACAATGAAACTTACCAATAAGGGACTGGGTGATGACAGGATTTAAAGGCTGATGGCCCGCTCCATTTTTACTCTTTCTCTCGTTCCCCATTGCACAAGATGCAGCAAGGGTCTCCTTGGTGAAGAACATATCAATCGCTGCATTGATATAGGCCGTCCAGCTTTTAAATGCCGAGCAATATGCCCTCTGGTGTGAATACCAGAAGACACCTGCTCCCTCCATTACTTCTATCATCTGTAAAACAAAAACAATCCAACATTGATGTAATCATATTTCACTTCTACCTCTCTTTTTGGCCTTATTAATAGCTGTTGGAACATGTCACAAAGAATCATTGCTTCTCATGTATTAAAAAGGTTGCATCTAGACTATATGCAAGACAAAAAAGCCATGATAATTACCTTGTATTCTTCAGCAAGTGCCCTGTCAAGAACACCAGCAGCTGGTCTGTTCTTTATAACTTCCTCTACGGTCTTTGCCTTCACTGCAAGACAATAAAAAAGAATTACTTCAATTAATCAATAAGATACAGATACATGATCAAAATTCAGTAGAGGTCCTTCTTCATAATACAACATAATAATGCATTTTAACAGCCAGTTGCTCACACATTTTGCAATATAAGATCCAGAATTTTGCTTATGTTCAACAGTTTGCACTTTCATACAGAAACTTGACTTACGTGCAATGTTAAGCCTCCTGTGTACTTTTTCTAGTCGCTTTCGCAAGGCCTCAATTTCCATTTTTTGCTCCTTGCAGCAACTGCCACTAGAGCCACCTTCATAAGCCAGACTACTGCAATCCTCATCTTCCTCACTTATTTCATCATCGCTGCTATCAACATCCACACTTTGAAAATGAATGCCTCTTCTTGGATCAGCAGTAGATTTTGATTGCTTTGACGTTACTGCTTGCTTTCTTCCAGCCGGAGTTTTATTTGTGCATTGACCTGGTGTTGTTTGCGGAGAGGGTGTTGTGCGTGGAGTTGGCGTTGTACGTTCAGCTGGTGTTGTGTGCTGAGCGGGTGTTGCATGTTGAGCGGGTGTTGTGTGTTGAACTGCTGTTGTGTGCTGAGCAGGTGTTGTGTGTCGAGTAGGAGTTGTGTGCTGAGTGGGTGATGTGCGTTGAGTAGGTATTGTGTGCTGAGTGTTGTAAATGGAGTTGGTGTTGTGTATTGTGCTGTCCTGGGTGGATGAGCTGACAGTTGGTTTGTTTGCTGAACTGCACGTGATGGTGCTGAAGAACATGTAGAAGGCAGCTGTGTAGAAGAATCATTTCCTCGGTGAATCGGCACTGGTACAAAGCTGGCACTTTGATCTGGGGAAGTGGAAGACCATCTCTCAGCCGCTTGCTTTTTCCTAGCTTCCTGAAGCAAGTTTTGCCTTGTTTGTTCCTCCACTTTTTTCTTTTTCTTTTCTTTTCTCTTTTCTTTTCTCTCTTTCGCCTTTTGGTCCTTGTGTCCATCATTCAGAGTTTCACCATCTGACTTTCTCTTCTTTTTCTGCCCTGCGCCATCCTTTTGGTTCTTTCTTTTATGTTGGTCTTTTGGCTCTTGTGCTTTTTCTGATGTGATTTTTTGACAATTTTTTTTAGCTTTCTCCAACTTCATCCTCTCTTTCATAAGCTCATTCTTGTCAGCTACAAAAAGGATTTAATGAGGGAAATATTGTTATTGTAAAACTAACATTTGCTTATTCTACGACTAATAAATATGGACATTTGCACTTTGTTGCAGTTAGATAACTGACTGGTAACACTACTTTATGTACCTAAGCGTAATTTCAGATCTTTTACTGATAACTTACAGTTCCACAATTATTTCTGGTGTTCGTGGTTTTCTAAGTTTCACTGTCAGTAATTTTTAACATACACAGTATTTGACTATGTAGAATTTGAATAATCATAATTTCTTTTCATCATGAGAGTCATGTGACACGAGCCTTTTGGATAGTGAAACATACTGTGTAATTTTTTCTCTCAGGGGATGTGGTGGGAATGTAATTTTCACAGACTGCCGTTAAATATGTGTGATTGATGAAATGAGACCCAAGAAATTTCTTTTACATAAAGATCTTGATTATAGGTACCTTACTTAGCAATAATTGCAGAAAAAGGGAACTTACTTCCTGTCTGTAGTACTTGAGCATCATAGAATTGGCCATTGGGAAGCCACATGGCGCTTATTATGTCTCCAACTTGAAGTCATCTTCGTCATCAGGGCAGATGTGACGAACGTCATCTTGCCCTAAAACCCTCAAGTTGTCATCATCCTCGTACTTTACAAGGTACCACAACTCTGTAAAATTAATTTTAAGTCATACAAGCTTCAATTCTTAGTAAAAAAAAAAATTCTTAAGCAAAGAGTGGAAAATTTGAGATTACAGCTTCAAAGGTTTATGTGCTTTTGACTAAACTGATGAAAAGAAAAGATAAACTAATAGCTTAATGTTCTTGAGAACAACCACTTTGTAGCAGGGTGGCGTGCTTGCATTTAGTCAGCGTGTAGCATGCAAGGGCTAAAAGGCAAAGTATTATTTTGCATTTTTATTCAGGTTATCAAATTATGACACAGTGGCTTAAAGAAATAAAAAAGAAATTTGGAGTTCGTGTCATAAAAGTTAAAATAGCATCTACTACTCTTCAGAAAGCTGAGAAGTCAACTCACAACCTACTTCCAACTATACAAGCAAAAACATATTTAAAATTTTAATGAGTTTGTGCCTGAAAACTAAGGACCTTAAAATAATGGTTTCCCCGCCATTTAGTCACGTGATCATCGCATGCCCGTGTCTTTTTGTAACGGGCAATATTCCAGTTTTCAGGTTTTAGAAGTTGCTTTAGTTTTAGGCACTTGAATCAACGACCCTTAGACATGAACTAGGAATAATCTTTATTATTTTCAGTAAATCTGCATTGTTCCTTTAGTTCTTTTACGACTGTAAGAAAGCCATATAGACTTATTGTTGTCATACAATGGACGCTGTATAAGCTAGCTTACAGGTAGTGTTTTCTGTTGTTAGAATAGATCTACATTAGCCTTAATATACAGGCATTGTTCGCATTGTCCACCATGATTGTAGGAAAAGCAGACTTTAACAGCAAGGAGAAATCAAGTCTATTAAACATACTTTTGATTATAGTACATATCGATCCGCGATCGCGTCCTCAACTTTCGCACTTTGAACTTACCTTCCCTTAAGCGAGCCGGCGTTGTTCTTTTTCTTGAATTCCTTCCAGCCATTTCTTATTGTCTTGAGTACTTTTAAATTCTAAAAGGCGAAAAGCGTAACACAAATTTCTCCAACCGAAAGAAAGCTACAAATCCAAAACACGCTCGAATGCACCACGTTGGTATTCCACGTTGGAACTTTAATCGAAATCAAAAGCGACGCTCTTTTCTGCTGTTACATTATTGGCTGCATAATGTCACATGACGTGCCATATAACGTATTGACTCTGACGTCATTATGCATTGTGCTTTGCAACACTCAAACCCTGGGAACGAGTAACACTCATTTCTCCAAACATGGCGGACGATCGTGGACGGTATCGAAGAGGGCGATACAAAGAATATTTGCGTCATCATAACCCGTACAAATTCGAAGCAGCACGAAGAAAAAATCGAAGGCTTAACCGCCAGAAAGCTGATTCTTGTTCAGCAGCACATCAGAGCGGTGTAAACGACAAAGAGCCGGAGATCGACTGTCGGGAATTCGAGGTGATGTGTGCATGTGATGAATCCACTCTTGATCAATGGGATGTTTTTAGTTCTGAAGAAACCGCAGTAGAAAAAGCAGCATTGTCAAGCGATGAGCAAATGCACGAGATCTTGAAAACAAGAGATTTGGGATTAGATAGGATGCTTGATTTGGAGGCCAGTGATGACGAACAGTTGACGACTACGAGCACTTCGTACGAGCGTTTTCTCAGGGAAGATGACGACGCTAGCTTGCATTCTGTAAGCGACTACGAAGACCAGGAGGACCTTGAATTGCCATCTGAAAACTGCGAGTCAGAATCTGATGATAATATCCTTTATCCAGGCGCTCCACTCACAAGCAGCACTAGTGTTGTTCTGTTGTTAACGTTTGTAATGAAGCATAAGCTTACACGTGAAGCATTTAATGATCTGCTGTCAGTAATTGAAGCACACTGTCCGCGGCCCAACAACTGCAAAACGTCTGTGAAAAAACTTTTGGAATTCGTAAGTCAAGCGAAGGGTGACATTGAAAAGCACTACTTTTGTGATTATTGTAAAGCCTACTTCGGCAAAGGCACCGGAAACTGTAACATTTGTGGTCGTAGCATTTCTAAAGCTAGTAGATTCTTCATCGAAGTACCTGTGGAAAAGCAGCTACAAAAATTTTTCACTGGTAAGTATTTCGTATTTTGTGAATAATACAAAGTTAACTAGCTATTCATTATGTTTTGGGAAGTTTCATACATAGTGCAACAGTCTTTCATTCAGTCTTTCGTAAATCATTTTCATGCAGTTCATCTATTATAAAGGTCACTGGTAAATGATACTGCAATAATATTATTGAGAAAATATCAAATAGACAGAGAAAGTATTGCATATTTTTGCAAAAAAAGGGCTTGATATCGGTAATATTTCAGAATAACCTGTTGTAAAGCGATTCACCTCATTCAATAAGATTAATTTCAAAACAATCGCATGTCAGTTCATCTGCCAAAGAACATGAACTTTTTGTTGTGCTAGTTTGAGCTAGATGAATTATCACTTCTGCCATTTTATAATAGAACGGCCAAATTTATATTTACCTCCATAATGACATTTCAGAACTCAGTCAGTTCCTTTTCCTTTTGTAATCTTATGTAATGCGATAATTAAAGCCCCGTATGATATAAACAGCAACATGCATGCTTCTGATCTTACATTGGACAAATTTTGGATCCGATCCTTAGTGCAAAGAATAGGCTGCTGCCTCGCCAAGGTTCACCGGCAATAAATCAGTCAGACTATTCCCAAGCATTGTCACCCATACAACATTATAGACAAAACATAATTTACTTCCATCAATCTGATGCAGTATTGCCTGGTCACTCTTACATTGCCAAAAAATAAATTTTATTCTTTTCCAAAACTTACCTGTTATTGGACTACATTTGTTCACACATGTCCAGGTTTCCATACTAATCCATTCTTCTTTCTTTCTCTAGACCCTGAATTTGTTCATGGTCTTAGGCACAGATTTGAGAGAGTCAAGAGGGATGAGCTTAGCATTGAAGATGTATACGATGGCTCTCTTTACAAGAGCAAGTGTGGGCCAGATGGATTCCTTTCCAAACAGTATAATCTCTCCTTAAAGCTTAACACTGATGGTGTGGCAATTTTCCACTCTTCACAGTTTGGAGTTTGGCCCCTCTTTCTACTTGTCAATGAGCTTCCTCCATCATTAAGGTATGTATTCAGGAGTGAACATCTTATGCAGTTACAGTGCATCTGCTTAAAAGTGTGACTACAATATACTATAAAGATAGCAAAATTACCTTATCACTTGCCTCTTAAGAAGGTGTTAAAATAATAATCTCTAATTTACTGGTTTTGTTTGTGTATGATGTGTACTGCAACTAAACACATCTTTTTCTCTTCATAGGAGAAATAATAAGTATAGAGTATTTGGTGGCCTTTGGTTTGGCGAAGATAAGCCGTTCTTCTCAACCTTCTTTAAGCCATTTGTTGACACTTTCAAGAAAATAGAAATTGATGGTAAGAAGCTTTTAGACCATTTTTGCGTCATAGGGGTTTTCTTAGCATTTACCGTGATGTACAAGGGTGCAAAGAAAGTCAGTTTTACAGCTTGCCATTTGGGCAAGCTGTAGCTGGCATGTACTAGCCCAGAATTCATTTCAACTAGCCCCAAAAACTTTTTGATAAGCAGGATTGATTACACAGTTTTTATGTAATTTGAATTCCTCAAAAACTTCAGTTGCCCGTCAGGGAAGTGTACAGTAGCAATGTCAAGAAGAGATAATATATTTCCTTATCACTGTTTTGAAAAACTTGACAATGTGGGCAATCTGTTGAGGACACCTGTGTTTGTATTGCAATGTTATAAGGTTACATCTCTTATACTACTGTTTCTCTGAACTTTGCATTGGCTCTAGAGTGGGACCCCATGGATTCTTTCAATATGACGTGAAAATGAAGTTTAGGTAAAATTTCTGTTTATCAACACGAAAGCCATGATTTCTTACTTATATGGGTTTTCACCCATATAGGAATGGATGTCACCCTTCCAGATAAAGTGAAGACAAAATCACAGGTCACGGTACTGTCTGGGCATTTTGACCTTCCTGGTCGAGCTGGTGTTCTAGAACAAGTCACACACACTGGCCACGATTGCTGCAGCTACTGCACTGAGCATGGAGAAGTTATCAAGACTGGTCCAAGGGGCCATGTTATGACCTTTCCATTCCGCAACTCTGTATCTGGGCATGCTAAATTACGAACTACTGAAGAAGTGGAGAGTAACTCGTATGATGCCCTTTGAGAGAAATAAAACTGTAAGTAACTTGCTACTAACAGGTAGTAACAAACATTATTTTGTAAGTGGCAAGAGACTGATTTCTTAAGAGGTTTAACTGAGAAATGTTCACGCCAGTTTGAAGTTGTAATCACTGATAGGATACCTTTTGTTTGAGAGAATGGTTCCCAATTTGGTGATATTATTCAGTGGCTGTTTTTGTTACAAAATGGTTTTTAAGAAATTACTCGAGATGCTTAATCCTCATGTTAGACATTTAATTTTTAGGTCTGTGGTTTCAAGGCACCAAGCCCTTTGCTTCAGCTGCCAAGTTTTGACATTGTCAGTGGTGTTGGTATAGATGCTATGCATTGTGTTTATCTAGGAGTGGTTAAGCAGCTTGTTGGTCTATGGTTCAATCCAAAACACAGTGGTCAGAGATGGTATTGTGGAAACAGTGTTGAGAAAGTGGACAAACGCCTTCTGGAAATTAAACCACCGAGTGTGATCACCAGAATTCCTAGAAGTATACAACACCATCTGAAATTTTGGAAAGGTATTAAAATTGAAATAAGTCAGTCATTCTTAGAGATTTTCATTTTCAATTCATATTTTCAATCTTTGTGCTAAGAACTCCATTCAAACTCCCAAGTCTCTTATTTTTGGATGGGCATACAGTTGTATGGATCATGACAACCATTCATGAAAGTACAGAAAAAGTTTAGATTTTATACTTCCATTCATAAAGGAATAAATAAAATACCAGATTCTATATTATTGCAGCAACAGAGTACCGCAACTGGCTATTGTACTACTCTCTCCCATGCATGAAGGGTATACTTGATGAGAAGTATCACCAGCATTATGCCCTGTTGGTTGGTGGCATCATCTTCTTGTCAGGAAGATCCATATCACCTGAACAGTTAGAAATGGCTGGGAAGCTCTTGATGCACTTTGTTGAGATGCATGATGCATATTATGGTGTGTATGAAGACATCTTTTGTGAATGCCTTTTTTTAAACAGTGACTAACAAACCTCAAGACCATTACAGCAAGTGCTTATGCATTATTCATATATGTCTACCCATCCCTCACTGGACTAAGTTGCTGGGTTGTTTGTTTTATACACTGTCATTTTTTAAAACTTGCATCTTATCTATTTAGGGCCAAGATATGTGCTAATGAATCATCACATGCTTCTTCACTTAAAAAAGTCTGTGTATGACCATGGTCCCCTTTGGAGCAGTTCCCTTTTTGTATTTGAAGACTGGAATGGTGACATTGGCAATTACTTTCATGGAACACAGAATATTGCAAACCAAGTAAGATTATTTATGTATACATACACCTTATTTGATGGTTTAGCATATAATATGGTCATCTCTGCAGTGTGACATTTGCCATAAACTTGAAGTTTAACACGTCTCTATGATGGATACACAAGATTTTATTGTTGTTATGTCAAATACCTCACCACAAGTTTTAGTCTAATTAGTGATTCGTTTTAAAGTTTCGTCTCACCCTGGTTAGTTGTTTTTACTTGAAGATAATGACTGCAGTTACCAGCCACCAACGTCTTCCCCAGTGGATAGATGAGATGCCCTCAGGAAGTGCCAAAGATTTGGTTTTCCAACTATGTGGACAAACTAACAGGTTAGTCTTCACGCAGTAGTTTTAAGAAAGTGCAAGTATTGTTTGATACTGTAATAGAAATTTAAATTTCTATTTAGATTTCATTATTAACTAGTTTATTACACCTCATACCTTCAAATTTAATAATAGCTAGGTTGCCTATCTAAGTAGCCACATAGACCTTTGTACAGATTGGATTCTAAACTAATGCTTATACATATAAGAAAAAAAACAAGATTTTTAGTGTGAGTGAGTGAGAGTTGACCTTTGATTTAAAGCCTGTGTTTCTTTGCATCTGATACAATAAATCATTTCTTTGCTTTACTCACTGTGGTTTGTAACTATTTTCCTTTTAGGACAAACAGAACACACCTAAAGGACGATTTCTATGCAGTTGGTGCACTCAAGAAAGGCCTACTTACTGATGCAGATTTTGATGAGGACCTCCTCACATTTCTGGGCATAGAGTCACTTTCTGAAGTAACCTTTTTCTCAAGGCTCCAAATTGGAGGAGCAACATTCCACTCCAGAATGTACAAACGAGTGGTCAGAAGGAACAACTATACCATAGCCTACCGGCAAGGGGAAAGCTGCAACTGTTATGGCCAAATTGAAGTGTTCTTTGTGGTCAGGGATGATCCGAGAATGACCTGTGGAGCTGTAGTGTCTCCACTGACTGTGTCCAGTCAACACGTTTGTAATATCCATGAAGTATTGGGGAACCCGGTGACCCACATTGTCTGTCTTCAGAAGCCAAACAAGAAGAGATTCACTGTTGTCACTCTTGGAGACATTATTGACATATGCGTCTACATGGAGTTTTCAGACTGTAATTTGGGATATGCAGCTCTTTTTCCAAACCACATTGAAAGAGACTGATAATGACAGTGACAGCTAAAGTGCAAACACAAAGTTTGCACACTCTTGAAATCAAAAGTCCTTGAATTTGAGAGGAATTAATTAAAAAGTCCTTGAATTTTCCCCAAACACCCAGATGGCAAAAAAATTGAGATGTTAGGCACAAAGTAAAGAATTTTTATTTTTTGGGTTTGATACTGTGTGAACTATGGAGATTCTTGGCCAACTTTGACTCTATGAATGTAACAGTTGTGTATTATTTTCTAGACAGTAATTGGAGACTTGGTATTTCTTACTCTCTTGTTAAGAGAGATAAATGATTATTGTTGGGTTCGAAACTCAGCACTCAATGTTAAAATAGTTATTTTGCAAACGTTACGTCAAATTAATATTAACAGATGGATTAGTTATAAAAAAAATGACATAAAAAATGTGCATTTTGCTGGTTTCCTCAGCATGTACTTGGCAAAGAATTTGAATACTGCACCTTTGAGTTTTGTTTTGGCTTCACACAGTTTCTGTAAAACCATCATGTGGAAACTCTATGGGGAGACATTTCCAAATAGTTATCGTACAGAAATTCTATGGAACTTAAAAAATGGATTTCAGTAATTGATATGGATACTGTATGGCACATTGAACAGTGGGTGTCCCATATCATTTCCATACAGAGTTTCTGTAATACCATCATATGGAAATTCTATGGAACTTAAAAAATGAATGTCAGTTGGTATGGATAATCTATGGCACATTGAATAGTGGATGTCCCATGTCATTTCCATACAAGTTATGGAGCAAGCATGTGTGTTAGTGCTATGGAATATCTGTGGGCATTGTGTTGCCATAGCTCTCCCATACAATTAATAGCATCAGCTTTTCTTCCCATATATTTTCCATACGTTACATTTTGCCAAAATGAGGTCCCATATTAGTTCCATATCATCAATCAGCCTTCCCATACAATTCCCACATATGGGCCACATATGGCCCAAGCTTTGCCATACCATTCCCATATTTTATTTTTGGTAAGGGCTGATGTGACGCACGTCTATAAGCGAGGGACGTGACAACTTTGCCATGTTAGAAGACTGGCTTTTCTTTTAAATATTTCCTTCTATTTAATGCAACACACGCCACTTTAGAGATCTAAATTTCGGATACTGAGGGTAAAGAAGACACGGACAAAAATAGGAACTCTGAGAATTTCGCACACAAGTTTAAAGCTTCTCCGGGACATCCCATCCGGGAGATTCACAGAGAGCGACTTGAGGAAAATAGGAGCTATTACTGACAAGGTTTGGTGACTGAGTAGAGCATACAAGTGTAGCCCACGTCGAGGTTTCAGGGGGTTTGCTTTTGTTTGTATCTGTATCTTGCTAAGTTTTTGCCATTAAATTTGTACAAGATCTTGTGATCACAATTCTGTGTTTTCGCCCAGTCAGCAAGCACGCTATATTGATGTCAGCATTAGCGAGTTTCAGAAACATGCCTTTGAAAATTTTCAGCTCTCGTGATGTTTCTTGATATTTCTTTTACCATTTTATGGAGATGTAAGCTGAGGTCACCGCAAAATGGAAACTTAAAAAAACGTATAATCCATTTATCTCGAAACATAACACACATGACTTATACGACCTTTATTTTCGTAAAGGTGTTTTGAATACGAACGAACACAGTCAATGTGAAGGGCAAAAACAGCATTAATATAAATGAACCATAGGATTTTAACTAACATAAGGGTCAATTATTGTGCACTGAGATGAATCGCTTAAAAAGAGAGACTTCGCTTGAAGATGTGATCAGAAGTAAACAAAGGCATAATAGTGCGTCACGTTCAGTCTTTTTAATATCCAAGGAGTCACTGTGAATAGTGTTTCCATATTGTTTAGCTGGCACAAAAACTTCGGACGAGTTATAAAGCGGCATAGTTATCTTCCATGAAGAAAAGTTAGTCTTGGGTGAGACAAACAGAACTAGAGCGAATTTTTAACTCATATCGGTATCAGGTGAAAAATATGTTATCGATCGTTTCATCTATTTACATTGTTTGAAGTGCGTGCTGGTGAACGCACCATGCGAGCGAGAAATCTTTAAACTTTTTTAGGTCTCAAAATGCAAAGGATTTTATTCCTTTAAGTTAGAGAAAAATACCATGAGGAAAATCTTAAAACTGAATACTTTTCATCTTGTGGAAAAAATAGTGCGTTTTCATGTAGACTGTGGACCGCAAATTAGGATCGCACTTTTCACAAACATGCGAATTCTGAAGTTCAGAACCCAACCGAGGATTGCGTTTTTCGCTGCTGTCAATCATCTTAACGGACCTCTTAGGAAACAAAACTTTACTTCACAGGTTCAAAAGGTCATGGTTTGTAATTTGTGGATTTCGATCCGTTTTGTGTGTTTCTCTGTTTCAAGGTTCGTTACTTGTGATCGTAATTATGATTGACGGCAGCGATAAACACAATTGTGAAGGTGGCTTTTGAACTTTAGAGTTCGCATGTTTGTGAAAAGCGCAGTAAAGTCTCCGTGCAGTCAGTGAGGCCCCTGGATCAGGCGGGATCAATGGGCAGTTAACTGTCTGTTTTAGTATACCTCTGGTTTTCATACAACACAATATTTCTGTCTAGTGTAAATCAGCTCAGTCTGTCGCATTTTATGCTCGTAGAAGGACAACAATTTTTGGAATTTCCGGTTACGTCAAATTAGTCACGTTATACTGTCACGCAATATTTTGGGGCACAGAGGGATTGGGGAAGGGGTGGGTGGAAATAATGCAAATTGTTTCCTGTTTAGAATTAATGGCTAACTTGTTTATTTTTATTCATAATGGTGGAATTTAAAAGTTATTATACAGCCCCCACTTAAAAATGGTACTCTTTTTTTTTTGGTTACGAAAGTCTTTCAAAAGGGTACAATGTTCTGAATGAGTTTATGTTTGTCTCACATAAGATTCTGTTGCATGCAATGGTTGCTGACAAGGTTTTTTGAGTGTGTATAGCCGCCCCCTCCCCTCAGAAAAAAATAGCCCCTTTGCAGCCCAGTTAAAAATCGCCTTTCGGCGATTCTTGTTATCTCTATAGTCTCTCCAACGGAGTGGTTGGAGAGAATGTGAATTAACCTTATCAAATAAAGGCAGTGTAAGTGGGTGACTGGGTTTAACTTCTTTTGTTTGGGAAGACTTTGTTTTCTAGGCCTAATCTACTGTGATCGAAGAAGATTGCTATTTTTCGGTGTACATATAAGACTATTTACTCGATGTAAAATTTGTTTCACTCTTGGACTGTCAAATTATTCTTCTCTAAGGAATCACTTTCCCTCAAAAGTCGCATGAATGTGCCTTAAAGTTAACTGATTAATGTTTATTGTTTTATGTAAATTATTAATTTATTAACGTGAGCTTCGCTTTTAGCCCTGGCTAAATCTATATATTATTTCAAGAAAATGATAAGCTTTGGAATCGCGGCTTCATCTCATAGTGGTTTGATTCCATTGAAAACTGCATACAAAAAAAGAGGGGAATTGCTCTGGGCGATCGCGAGTAAGAAGAATTTTATTAACTTGCATTCAGCTGCTTTTGTTACACTTTTTGGACGTAATTTGGTCCATGCCTAAAAATTTCGCATTTTTCCAAAAACCGCTCGATAAATTTTTTTTATAAATTCGACAATTCCGAGAGCAGTCGTTAAGAAATATTCCCTGCAAGTTTCAAGAACATTGAAAACAGGGAAGGCTTTTAAATAGGGCCTCAAGCATAACCAATTTTCTCCCCAGATTTTGTGTTTACAAGTGATCTACCTCATTATTCACTGGCATTGTTTTCAAGTTTCATATGCACGTGCACAACTAGCTAAAGATATAAATTTGGATCAAAAAGAACTCTCGATTACTTTACGAAGAAATATCCGGAATATGCTAATAATTGGCTTGTCGTCACAGATAGCAGTGAGAGCCGAAACGGTGAACGTCACGGCTCATCGGGTAGGATGCAATACTTAATTATCTTACTCGGGTTATAACATCACAGAAACTCTCACAAAGAGTTGTTCTGATGTTATAATGTATCACTAATCTCTTTACGCGGTAATTAGCATATCTCGGAGATTTAACCGAGGGTCCTTTTTGATGCAAATTCTATCTTTTTGTTAAATGTGCACGTGTATATGAAACTTGAAAACAATGCCAGTGAATAGTGAGGACGCTCGCTTGTAAACACAAAAACTGGGGGGAAATTGGCTATATTTGAGGCCCTATTTAAAAGCCTTCCCGTTTTCAATGTTCTTAAAACTTGCAGGGAATATTTCTTGACGATTGGTCACGGGATTGTCGAATTTATAAAAAAATTTATCGAGCGGTTTTTGGAAAAATGCGAAATTTTTAGGCATGGACCAAATTACGTCCAAAAACTGTATCAAAAGCATCTGAATGCAAGTTAATAAAATCCTTGTTACTCGCGATTGCCCAGAGCAATTCCCCTCTTTTTTTGTATGCAGTTTTTAATGGAATCAAACCACTATGAGATGAAGCCGCGTTCCCAAAGCTTATCATTTTCTTAAAATATTAGCGAATTATGCGGCTAGCATGCTATTTCACTGTTTTTATGATTCTTAAAACTGCAATTCAGAATATTTCGAAAACGCTCTCATAGAATTTCTTCAAACTTTGCCATAATGGAGGCAATTATGGCAGGTACATACTCCCTTAAGAGATTTCCTCAAAAAACTCCTGGTACAGAGAAACACAACGATAAATGAAAAACGTAATGGCGTCATTACGTTGCCATGGCGACTCCGATTGCAATATAACCCAGATCATGAGAATTTTTCATCTTTATTTAATAAGGTTGTGGTAACCTTTTTCCCATATCTTTACTCATGCCGACGTAGTTAATGCTCAAACTTGGGAGGTATCCCCCTAAAAAAATCCAGTCGAGCCACCTTAAAACAAAAAGAGTCAAATACACAGCGATTTGAAAGAAATCTATATTAAAATAGTCAAAGAAAGCAAGCTATCTCTTTTTT